ATTCAAGGTGAGCACCTCCATCGTAAAAACGAGCATAAATGAAGGTCACCTTGTGCAAGTCCTTTTGATCTTCCTCGACACACGAGCTAACTCTAAGTTATTATTCCTTCACCTAGGAGCAACGACTTTGGGGCTCTTATTCTGGACTGGACCCGGGCCTGGCCAACTGTCAAGCACAGACAAACTTGCCCTTGCGTCAACAGTGGCCCAAATGATGGCCCAATCCCTTGGGGTCCAAGCTGAAGATGTGTCACCCACGTGCCCCTCACCCGAGGGTACGTCATCAACGTGTTCCACACTCTTCGGAGTCGTTACGCCATTTGTAACGGACGTGGTCAACCCACTATCCGGGAAGTCCACAGAACACTTGACCCAGAATGATGGGCACATGTTGTTCATCCTCACTACCACGTGAGAATCCTGATAGCCATCCATTATGGGACTGGATATTCAATCCACAATGGAGGCCATTGGCACAACACTGTGCACTCTATAAATACTCTCTCGTACAAGAGAGTTAGGTATCTTATTCACAACTCTCATACTCGCTTACCTGTCACTCTTTCTAACTTTAGCATCAGAATATCTTGCAGGTAACCCCCACCCCCTTCGAAGAGCATCCATACCGACAAATAATTAGACTGACCACACGCATACTCTCTTTCTGGTTCAGGTACGATCAAAAACAATTTTTTTTAATTCATGTTTTTGTTTTAGAGTTAAGATGCATGCATTAATAATTACCTACTATTACTCTAATCATTATTATAACCAACATTGAACACCACTTAACCAACTTTAATCACCACAATCATCATACCACTAATATCACCATCGACCACTTTCGATTAATACTTTATCCACTCGTAATCTTTAATATTACTATTACTTTAACAACTATCAACCATCACTTTGATCACCACCAACTATCATAGTGATTCCATCATCCACCATTCTAATCACCATTAGTCATTAATTTGACTACAATCACCACCACTTATTACCACTCTAACTATCACTTTAACAATCGTTGATCATCCCTATCGATTACCATCACTATGACTACCAATAATCACCACTCTAATATGCATCTACCCACAATCCTACTTTTATCCACTATTATTCAAATTACTACTTAAAAAAAATTATGTAATTGTAATATTTTAATCAATTTTTTAATCTAATGATATGAGTTATATAAATTAAAATATATTTATCATAAATATTTATTTTTATGTGTATGTTTGAAACTAATTTTGTTGTTTGAAAATTTTATAGTTTAAAACTGAAATTGATTTTGAATTTTCAAAATTTTGAAACTCAAAATAGAAACTTTTATAGTTTTATTAAAATTTTAAAACATAAAATAGAAAACCACTCCGAACAGATAAACCTTTAATCCTTGAACTAATCTTTAATCTCGTAATGAATTGTTTAAAGTTAAGTATTTGGTATAATTCAATTTAAAGTTGATTAGCCGATAAAATATTTTAAGGCTAAATATTAGATAAATAACATGGCAATAGTAACTTAAAAGGAAAATTTAATTAAGAGTACAAGGTAATCTCAATGGATTTGAATGAGTTAATTTAGATTAGATCCAGACATGATTGAGTCAGATAAAAATAAAAGATTGGATTGAATTGAGTGAATGAGTTCGCAAGATGTGTTCTTTGATTCCTTTATTATTTATAATGGATATACACTTGAGAATTGTGGCCAAAGATTTACCAAAGTAAACCATGTCTCAACATGATTAAATTGAATGCCTCATCTAGACTTATTAAAGGAAAAATGACATTCTTACACTAAAGGCATTTAAACTTATTAAAGGAAAAATGACATTCTTACACTAAAGTGTATATTTACACTGTATTTCACTGCTCACAATACAGTGAATATTGAAATATTATAATAATATTTTTTTAAAAATAAAAATATTTTTTTAATTTAGTTTTACTTTTTTTTAGATTGTAAGAGTATGAAAACAAAATTATATAATTAATTAATTTTATAATTTTATAAATCACATTTTAAATTTTATTAATCAACTTCATAACTATTAAAAATTTAAACAATTTATTAATCAACTTTATAATTTTATTAACCAACTTCTAACATTTTATTAACTAACTTTATTTTACTACTAAAAATTATTTTAAATATCTAAATATTTATTAACTAATTTCATCATTTTATTAATTAATTTTTTATATTTTATTAACTAACTTTATTTTATCATTAAAAGTCATTGTTTATATATTATTCATAAACATTGTTCATCGATATTGTTTACGTACTGTTCATGAATACTGTTTAATATTTTAATATTATTTAAAAAAATATTACTAATTATATAAATTATATAAATACGATAAATAATATATATAGTGTAAGTATTGGTGTAGGAAAAAGATATAAGAATAGCAAAGCAGTTACTAAAGATGTCAAGCTTGAACAACCATTATCCAAAGGTCCACCTGATTAACAACAATAACCAATTTAGTCTAAAGGACATCACCTAACCAAATGAAATTCTTTATCCATTTTTCAAAATCTCTAATTAATGAAATAGGCCCTGAATAAAGAGGGATAGTGTGAATCAATATTCTATGAATAATAGACTTAACCATCTAATTTTGTCTTCAAATTTTCTAGCTTGTTCTTAAGCTTGTCTACAACTTCTTGAAAGTTTATCACCTTAGGTTTCCTCTTGAAAATGGTATCTCTAAGATAAATAAAGGGAAAAAACCAACACAAAACACAAGAATCATCCAATATAATCACATTTTTGTTGTCGGTTTTGGACATATACACCGTCAAAGACACAATTTCGGTATTGGTTATGGCCGTTCCTCCAGAAATTTTTTTTGCATCAATCAATTCATTTGATGCTAAAGTTGATTGATCATACAGTCCTATTTCAGCAGAGAAAATTTAAATTAACCACAATCATTAAAAATATTTAAGTTAAATATGTTTACGATCCCTCTAAATATTTCAAACTTTATTTTTAATCTCTCAAAAATTTTATTTTAAAAAATGATCTTTCTAATATTTTCAATCTACACTTCTGCTCATTCATATCAACGTTCATTAATAGAAGTTGACGTAGCACGCCATATAATAGTATCAGTGTGACAAGATGCTTACGTATCATTTCACGTGACTAAAATCAATATCATATTTAAATTCATAAAATTTCGTAGTTTATAAATAACTAAAAATTGTAATTAATTTATAACAAATTTATTGCTGAAATTCTGGTTCTAGAAAAAACATAGTTTATTCATGTTGATGTCGAGGACTTATGTGTAAAATTTAATGGAGGCTGAAAACTATATTAAGGAAGAGAGGAGGCTCATTAAAGTATCTTGTTGACCGATGTAACTAACTCTTTGAAATCAAATTCAAACTATCCTGAAGTTGGATAACTGTTATTTCTGTGTTCTGTCCCTTTTATATGTATTTACAAAGCCCAATCAAATACTGAAATTATTATCCCATTTCATTTATCTTCTTTGATATTTTCATATTTTTTAAGATAATGATTAGTTATATTAATTTGAATAATAAAATAAATATTATTTATTAAAATATCCTTATTAACAATCAATAGTGGATTATTTATATGATTAAAATACAGTAAATAAGATTAAATTACTGAAAAAATATAGTAAATATCACATTGATATTTTAAATTAATAAATAATTTGAGACAAATAAAAAAAAAAATACTTATTACGAGACTTTCAAGACATCTTAGTTAACCTATGCATTAATTTCATTCCATGTGATTATTTACTGGTGACTAACATGTTGAAAGTGACAATATGTCTTTTGATATTTCATACATATACAAAATATTTGTTTAACATAGATGTTGAAAGTGACAATATGTCTTTTGATATTTCATACATATACAAAATATTTGTTTAACATAGATACTAGTAGGAGACTCGTGCGCCTGCACGGATTCTATCATTTGTAATTTTAAATAAAATTTATAATTGTAATGATTGAATAGGTAATTAATAAAATGTGACCAAAATGTCATATTCATGGACAATATTAATGTCAACAATCAATGAGTTTTATAATTTGTCCTCAATAAAAAGGATATTTTATGATATCTAATAGAAAAATCATACTCCAATAAGAAAAATAAGTTCTTTCATATCTTAGATCATTCAATAATGCTTGGTCGTTGCTGATATATAATTGTATTATAAAATCACCAATAATTGTAAATACTTAAAAATAAATATGTAGAAAATCACCGATACGATAAATCTAATATGTCTAATAACTAAATATTTATAAATATCATCATTGTTAGTTCGACTAAATGGAATTAAGGGTCATCAAAGATGCAAGTTGATTGGAATTTGTTCATTAAGATTTGAAAGCGTATTTAAGCTCAGTGGTAGTCAAAGTGGATTAAAAGGTTTTAGGTAGCTTGTTCGAGAATCTAACTCAAGCAAGATTGGAAGATTCATGTGGTTCAAGTTGCTATTTTCAAGTTCACTTAATTCATCTTCCATTATTCAAATCTAGGCATGGCATATAAATGGATTTGGATTCAATTCTTTGTGAGATATCAAATTGGATTCAAGTTTTGAAGCGAGGCATCCCATGATAAAGTTCAATATCAATTTAGAAAAGTTAATTTTTGACCAAAGTTCCATTTAAATCTATGACTATTTCATTCAAGTTACAAGCATAATGGAGGGAAAATGTATTTCAAAATATGTTTGGAAAAAGGATTCAATACATTTAAAATTTAAAGGCAATTATAAAGGAAATTCAAGTTCACGATGCAAGTTCTATTGCTCCTAATCCTAAATCTCATCTTCTTCCTAAGGCATATCATCCAAGCATTGCCAAAAACTCCATTTTTGTTCCTTCAAGTTTTACACCTTAGCCATGCTTCAATTCAACCGAAACCTCCATAAACCAATACATAAGTCATGCATCAGTACATAGCCGAGCATAAACCTTCAGATGATCAACCTACTATTGCTGCCCTGTAAAAATCCAATACATACAATTAACTAAGTATACATAAACTTCAGCCCTGCATCCACACATCATTTAAACCAATTCAATTTAGAAAATATCAAGCTATCAAAGTCGGTTCAGTTTATCCATGCCATTAAACTAGGTCCAATCAATTAACCAAAACCAAGCTGCCTAGCATCAATCATAAAGCAGATCTGCATAAGTGTTTGGCAGTATGAAAACAGAAGAAAAAAAATGAAAAGGAAAATCATGAGAAAATCAGGAATGTCCAGCTCAGCAAATCAAGGAGAAAACAGGAAATATTTGTAAATAGAAAAAATCAATATCAGAAGGATCAGTTTCACAACTAATGAAAGTTCAGAATCAATCTTGACCATTCACTTATCCTAACTAACTCTCATTCAACAGTTAAGATCACTCTAGCTCTAACCGATTTCATAACAAACTTCTAACAATCATATGGCAGATTTTCAGAAAGGATTCACACACACTTACGGTTATTCATAATTCAAACACATCTCATAAAAAACTACACAAACAAAACTCACCAATGATCCGAGAACTCTCTCAGTATTTATCTACAATCTTTGCATCAAGATCTTCATCATCATCGAACAACCCTCCATTGAAGCTCTTTCAATCTTCACGACTCCATGATTTCTCAACATTGTTTCTTTACGCATCTTCATCTGCAATTATTGACTTTTTCACAGTTCTTTAACAATAACTTCAACGAATCTTCATTGCCATCAAGAATCCGCAACTGTAAATCGATTCAACGATTATCATTGTTTTTCTTTCGATCAATATCTCTGCAAAGAAACGCAACCATCACCACGCGTATCAACTCTTCACTTCTTAACGAAACGCTTAGTTTCACACAACAACACGAGGGATCCAGAAACAGAAATAGCAGAATGAGAAGAAGAAGAACAGAGCGAAGTACCTGAGCACGCAAGATTCTCTGGGTTTCTCTCCGGTTTCACGACGCTTTCGTTGCAACACCCGCTGAGAAAAGCCTTCGTCTCACAGGTAAATCATATGCTTGTCACTCTGTTTTCACTGGGTTTTGTCCATCGATTTGGTGATTAGGTTTGAGTTATGTTGAGGAGGAAGTGTTAAAAGAGACGGAGGTAGAAAAGACTTCGACGGCAAAGTAAACGGTATCGATGCGACGGAGAATCATCGGAAGAGAGCAGGTTAGCGGCCGTCTATTGAAGGAGGAGAAGAAGGTGCGAGGATAACAACGGTGGAGGATATGGACTGATTGAACGAGATACACAGAAGAATTCGTCGGAGGGGCGACTTGAGTGAGCGGCGCCGTCTTGATCGGAGAGGAAGAATATGAAGGTTTCTGCCGTGATTTTGGGACGAGATGAGGGATGATAGTTCTCTTTTTGAAAGAAGCTGAAGCGTTACATTTTCGATAACCCTAACGCAAGAGCATAAAACACAACCGTTTTGGGTTTTATTTTTTATTATTTCATTATTTTATTTTCTATTTTTTAGATAATCGTAATAAGAATAATGATGCTAGAAATATGAAATTGGTGATGATTGGAGAGGGCTGGACCGAGTCACTCCACCCTTAGGCCCATCACTATATTTTTTTGAAAGCTAGAACTTGACTTGACAAAAAAAATGCTTCATGGACTAATCATGGTGGGCCTAGCGCCTGAATTGTTGTCTGCACCAATGGATTCTAATCCACATACCCCATTTGTTTAGAGTATGTTTAGATTTTTCTCTAAACTTCTTTTCTTAATTTCTAGATAATAATATTAGAAATAAACATTGATGATAAAAATTGCAAAATCAATAAAAAAATTGTTAGATCTTCTTAGTTGATTTTAGGAATTAATTCTTTAGTTTTTTAATAGAATTTTTGTCACATAAAAAAACTAATAAAAATTCTTTTTCTTTTAGTTTTTTTATTCATATTTTACACCGTTTTGCCTTGTTATTTTTGACGCGTTTGTTCATTGTGCAAGGTATATTTTTGTACTTTCGATCATGTAACAAAAAAGTTGTTATGTGATAGATACATACGGCTAATGCTCGCTTCCTATGCGACACGCCTTATTTCTCATTTTATGAGAAATTCATATTATATTATATATTGTCTGAATGCATATTATATTTTGTGATACTTTGCGCAGGAACTTCTGATTACGCGTTGCATTCACAACATGCATGTGCTTTCATCTTAGTTAGATATCATTTATGACTTTGTTTGTTTTTTGGTGAAGCTTGCTCGATGCGTACTCCTTGCTTCTCCATTTCTTTCATCCGCTTTTGACGATCCGCTTGCTTTTGGTAGTTGCCGCTACTGCTTTTACATTTTCCTGCACTTTATCGCATTTCTTTACCGCTTTCTAGATATCATGAGAAGTAAGAAATAAAGAGCGTGCGCTCGAAGTCGCTGTTTAAAGACCTGCAGCAGGAATTTTGCACTTGTTTGCTAATTGTGCTTGTGTTTGCTTTCATGTTTTGACGGCTGATAATGTCACTCAATTAGCATTGAGATAACAACTTTGGCCTTTCATGCTCCCCATGGGATTTTAACATTTTCTTCTTTTAACGATCGATGATGTCACTCAATTAGAATTGAGATAATGACTTTGATCTTTGCATGCTCACTTAGGGCTTTATCGTTTTCCTTTGTTAATGATCGATTATGTCACTCAATTATAATTGAGATAACGAATTTGATCTTTGCATATTCTCTATAGGATAGTTATCCTCACCCTTAGGTCTTTTGCATGCTAACGTAGATAGACGTTTCCCTTATGTTAATCTAAACTTTAGGACCACCATTATATGATAACATTAGGATTAGAAATAGGTTAGTCTCCCATAGACTCTTTTCTTTCTCTTTTTGCATTTTCATTTAAAACTAAAACCTTCTTTTTCTTGGAAAATCATAAAACATGTTAATTGTTGTACCCCAAAATTTTCTCTCCCATATTTTTCAAAGCATTTCAAGAAAGATCTCCAAATTGCTCAAGGAAGTCCAAGGGTTGGTCAAACAAGCTCTCTCCTAAGGCAGTCTACCCGAAATTAGGGTTTCATGTCGCATCAAGATACTTGAGTCCAAGTGGTCCCAAATGCTCACCAATGTCCTAATATGTTCTCAAGATCATCCATGTCAAGTTTCAAGCCTTGCAGAGGAATTTTGCTCAGTCAATCGCTCAAAGGTCCAAAAATCGACTGTGTTAGGGCAAAAGTCAATTGTGACCCACATATAGTCAAACTTCAAGATTTTTGGTCAACATCCTCATTTTGAAGTATATTTCATCATTTGATCAAGGTTTGATCATGATTCATCAAGGATTGCTCACAATTCATCAAGACTCAAAAGTTGCTAAATTAGGGTTTTGCAAGAAGAGTCAACTCAACTTTGACCAAGCATAACTTTCTCATACTTTATGAGAAATGACACATCCAAAGCTCATTTTGAAGAGGGTGCAATTCCCTATAATCCATCTTCAGCTCCCGAGATCAAAATATGCACTCACAAGAAGTTATGAATTTGGACATTATAGGTCATTTTGAAAAGTCAACAAAAACACCTTTTTGTCAAAGCTTCATACTTGAGCATGGAATATCAAATTGAGATGAGACAAAAAGGGTTGATTATAGGACATATCAACTTTCTAAAAAGTCCAAGAACACCTCCAAAGATTCAAAATTGAGGAAGTTATGCATTGGTGAAGTTGACCTTTTTTGCAAAATTGCAAAAAGTCAACTATCCCCAAAACTTCAAATTTTGCCAAATGGGTCCATTCTTTTTCACTTGATTTGAGTTGGCATCATAGCCCACGTGCTCTAGCCTTTGCCACTTGTCCATATCATATTTTTATTAATTATTTTGATTTTTATTTGAATTAATTTGATTTAAATCAAAATAAATCAAATAAAAATCCAAAGCATTGATAACAAAGGATCTTTTGATTGTTTCAAGCTCTAATTACAGCTAGCAAGGCATTCAAATTTGCATCAAAGCTTGTGTGCACAAAAATATTGGAAATAAGCCATGTTTGGAAAGTTGTTCAAAGCAAATCAAATTAAATCCAAAATCATTGAAAGAAGAAGATTTGGACAGAATAAACAACCCTAATGCATTGTGTAATACATAAGGAGGCGAGGCAGATGAAAAACAAGGTTGGAATCAAGCGTGCGAGCAAGAACAAAAACTGAAAAATTAAGGAAAAAGTGTGAGATCAAAATCCCACTTAGAGGCATCCTCAAGGCTCGATACCTCTCCCAATCATTTCCTGGCAGTCTCCACAAGCGAAAGCAATCAAGACCAGGCGTTTTCAAGCCCTCCCACACACTGTAAGTTTTTCATAAGCTTGCTCTGTTCTTGAATTCGCATCTTGCAATTTAAGCTTTGTTGATCTGAATTAATGGCATATTCTTAACCCATGAAGCATTTGTAAACTTTTGGAATCATTCAATTGCGTTTATATGGTATGTAAAGAAATCCACCATTGTTAGGGTTTCAGATTTTCTTTTAGGGTTTTTCTTTTCTGGAACAATTGGCCTCCATGAATGGTATGGTTGTGATCAGAAGAAGGAGACGACCTCAACCATGGCCTTAAATACCATTTATATGGCCTGTAGAAGATTTTGGAACGAGCAAGGCCTATAGCGATGGACACTGTCCGTGGGTATAGGTCTTTGAACTTTTAGCCACGGTGCAGAGGAAGGAGACGATGAAGTGTCGCTCCCCCATAGGCCATTTCAAACATTGGCGCATTTTTTCTGATTTTTGTCCACTAATATTTGTTTTTGTATTTTATTATTATCTTTTAATGTTATAACAACAAGCAGCGAGTGGTCCAGTGGTAGGCGTGGCATGGAATTCCCCTTGGGGCCTGGGTTCGAATCCCAGGTCCCCCTATTTTCTCTATATTATTTTCTTACAGGAAATCCAATATGCGCTTAAGCCTAATGTCCACCATGCACCTTCCTCATCAACGTGTCAGATGGCCAGATGGCCAGATCTGGTGGCTACCACTGAGGACATACCATAGACCAAGTCAATGCACATGCATGGGATCAGAAAAGTCAATATGGATCAGCATCATTGGGCCAAAATTCTTGCTATTCACACCTCCTAAATTAGGCCTATTTCTCATCTCTTTTTTATTTTATTATTCATTTAATTATTTATTTATTTATTTACTTAACCAAAAATTATTTTCTTTTTATCAAGAAAATCACAAAAAAATATTTTATGTCCAAATAAATTTAGAATATTATTTTTTTATCAATAAATATTAATTAGGTTAATTTTAGATAACTTTCATTTATTTTTGCAAATAATTAAAAATCAATTAGAATAACTAGGTTTTAACATGAACTTAATTATTTTATTTCTTTCCTAAAAATAACAAAAATCCAAAATATGTCATGTAACTATTTTTCATTAATTAATTTAATAACCAATAAATTTAGAATTTTAATTTTAGGACTTAATTTCTTTTCTTAAAAAATAATAAAAACAACAAAAATATTTTCTTTTAATGAGGAGGGTGAAAACCCTAGTTTCGCTTTCAATTCAATTGTCTCGCGCGCTTTATTTTTCTTTATCCAAATTATTGTATCTGCTCCCGGTTTGTAATAATTAATTAGGAAATTTATTTATTTTCACCGCTTTTAAATTTCAAAGGGTTTGTCTTTGGCGATGTAAATACCCGACGCCTTGTAATAATTTAGTTTAATTTCCGCACCTTTAATTTTTGCAAATATTCAACTGCTAGATGTTTGATAATAGGGTTTGCATGACAAGAATGAATGTCTAATTTTAAAACAGTTAGATCACCCTAAACATGTGCTAAGATAAAAATAATTGAAATCAACACACTCGCACATGCGCACTCCTAGGGTACACTCCCACTTGGTTGCCTTCATAAACGATCATTGAGTATAGGTTGTTTTAGAGGTCACCCTCTTGTCTAAAAGGTCATAAGTTGCCTCGAAATGGTTACCTCGAATATTGTTGCCTCGAATAAATGATCTAAGATATTAGGGTTACCGCTAAGATGTCCTAACATTGCTTTAGTGACTGTATGTCCCTCTTTCGAATTGACCCTCAAAACTCCAACGATGGTGCTACCTACTCACCCGTAGTGGGATATCATTGTCTAAAGGAAATTAGCATAGAACGGTTCCTTTTTCGAGTAGGTAGATTAGTTCTTAGATACTTGCTCATCCAAAACAAAACTTTTTTCACACTTACACTCCTTTTCAAACAAAGTTTTCAAAAAAAAACACTTCATTACACTCTTGAAGACAGAAGCAAGAGTTAAATCGAAGTCAAAACAAAAACTTTTCAAAGCGCACAAACACAAAGAAAACAATTTTGAAAATGATGAGCAAGTACTTAAGAGCCCGTAGATAACTACGGATAGAAAGGGT